GTTGGAATGAATGACTTACCTTTGTCCGCTAAAAGTCTCCTAAAAACTAAACCTAACTAAAACTAAAACCTAAAAACTTCTCGGTTTGGAGCATTTGACATTGATCTAAGAAAAGAAAAGGATTGTTTTTGCTACAGTAAGAAAGCGGGACCTATAAAGGTAATGGAACTTGTAGGGTTAGGAGATTCAGAAGTAATTGAGTGTATGGTTTTTAGGAAAACAGAAAACTTTTTTGAAGACCCTGTTCCCTCCTTCGCTAGTCTAGGTATTGTTGTTGCAAGTGATCTCAGTTCTGATATTGTTAAAATTGAAAGGAGTGATATTGACTATAAATACTTCAGTATCCCCTATGAAAACAAATTTTTGTTCATACCTCTTCTGCATCATCTTTTCCACGACTTTTGTAATTAAGCCACACTTTCCATTAAAAAAATAATAAAATATTAATATTTAAAAATATATTTTATAATACCTCATTTGACTTCATACTATTTTTGGAAATAGAACTATTATGGCATCCCAAGCCAATGGTAAGTAGAACTATTTTTTATAGGGCATATATAGATGTATAGTATATATTTTCAACATTTTCCAGGAAACTCTGTAAAAAGATTCATTACAACTTCGAATTTTAACGATGAAGAGGATTCATCAAAGGCGGTTACCCCATCCAACAACAACGTCCATGTATCTGATGAAGGTAACTTATGTTTTATTTTTCTCAATTCTATGTACCAAAATATGTATTTCCACAACAGTCTCATCCAACAATAACGTCGGTGGGCCCAATGAAGGTAACATACACTTATACATATGTTATTTTTCTTAACATGTTAAATTTTTGTCGAAATATTTACAGACGTAGATGTACTTCAAGCGCTGCTGATAAAACTACAAACGATCGAAATGAGTGTAAGTAGGTGCATTTCAAATGTACCCTTGCGCTTTGTGATGTGCGCTTTGAAATGTACCCTAGCTATGATTTCGTTGGTTTAAATGTCATATCTCATAATCGTTTTATCCACTCATATTAGCAACAAATATTGAGCGAAAACCAATCGCTGATATGTGAAAAATTGAATTATATTATGGAAAATGTGAGTATTGCTTCATTTAATTTGTTATTTCTGAGATATCTACCTATATATTTACCTATATTTGTATTAAAATAATAAAAACTTATTTCCAATAGTCCACACCCAAATGCGAAACATCGGCGCAGCACCAGTTATTACGGGAATGCAAAGTCTCGATTAAGAAGGTAGAACATTCCGTCTGTCGAATGACAGGAGAGCTGCGAGATAAGCATATGGACGATGTTGCGAGTGCATTGCCTCTCCAGACCTCAATAGCAGTGTTAAATGTGGAGGACAATCTTAAAATACCGGAGTACGCGCGGGCAATGGTAATTGAGGTGAAAATTTAAAATGTTATAGTTTTTACTTAATTTTAAAATCTGTAGACATCACACCTGCATAAAATTAAAGGGGTTTCCGAAGATGTTCCGTCCGTCGTCAGACAGATTTTTACGGATAAATTGATGGGCGCCTACAACTGGGATGGCAGATGCGAAAAGCAGGCCTTGGTCAAGCTTAAGCTGTTTGATTCCTTTCTACGAGGTAAGTATTTTCAATTGAGTATCATAAACTATAATTTTGTAATACATGTATTCATTGTTTCATTTAGAAATCTTCAAACTACAAGGAAGTTTCGATTTTGAACGAGGCGTTAAAAAAGCAGTGGAACTTAGCCATCACCGGATGTCGCAAAAAAAATTTGCAAAGAAGTCGAAGAAGGAGGCTCATTAAACTTAAATTTAAAGTTAAAAATTAATTAGTTTTTATTCTTTTCAACCCCTTTTTTCAACATTAACTTACTACTAGCATGAAGCTATAGCTAAAAATTTTTTTTAATGAAACAAGTATTGCCACAGATTTTTTCACAACTAATGCAACATTTTTTAACATAATTTGTTCCGTTAATTTTTATAAAAATATGGTTTACATACAGCAAAAACCAAACAAAAATTAAATTTTGAAACTTTGTGCGAAACAAGTTATACTGTTCGTTTAAATAAAAAAAATCGCAAATTAGTAGAAATATGAATGAATTTATGTAATATTTATTTGTATTTTTATGTAACATTTAGTAATTTATTCGTGTAATATTTTAATTTGATGGATCTTAACATCACCCCTGATTCCTCACCTTTGATTGTTTTTTACATCAGGCCTGAATCCTCATCTTTGATTGTTTTCTACATCAGGTTCGATCCCTCATCTTTGATAGTTTTCTACATCAGATCTGATCACTCAGCTTTGAACGCTTTCTACATCAGGTTTGATTGCTCAGCTGTGATTGATTTCGTCGTCAGTCTTGATTGCTCACCTCTGACTAAAACTTACATCATGAATGAAAACCGAACTTATAAGAACGAGCACGACAGCTATATGTCGACAGGGTCGATATGGTAATGTGTTAGAAGGTGATACCCAATCACACGCACACAACTCTTTACATCAGTTTTTGCACATTGTCCTTAAGAAACTGATTGAAAGTTTGTTCTGCGAACTGATTGAAATTTCGTTTAGCACTTTAGCTCAGATGAGCAATCATATGATGGTCAGTGTTCTTGCAGGGCTTTTCCGGTGCCCGCCCTACTAGGAACTTGTTGCTCGTTAGTGTTGTGGTGTTGTGACGACATCAGAAGGCATCCAGTTGCGGTCCGGAGTGCTGTGTTCTGGCATGCCTGTAGCTTCGTCTACCCGCCGACACAGCGTTTCTTTGTCATTGCCCCAGATGCTGCCGGCTAGTGACTTGAGGACCTTGTTGCGGCTCTGTACTCTGTTGACAATTGCGGTCCGAGAATTTTAGGGTTATTCACCGTCGAGATTGGTTTGCCATCGACGTGAATTCTAAACTGCCTTCGTTCAGGTGGTAAAAGGATATGACGAGAGTTTCGTAGGGAGAGTATTATGCTGTTTGCAGAGAATATGCAAGAAAGTTCGGAGTAGTAACGGTTTACTTTCGAGCATAAGACAGCAATTCAATTCCCGGACGTCATTTTCGAACAGTCGTCAGCATAAGAGACAATAGAGATTCTTTCTGTCGGTTGAGGGTGTATCAATATATGATAATTAAACAGCAGGGGAGATAGGACACCACCTTGCGGAACCCCCTGTCTAATTTTTCTAGGTTTGCTGGTTTTGTCTCTAAAAATTACTGACGAATGTCGACCACTCAGATAATTCGCTGGCCACGGTTTGAGGCCCTGTGCCAACGACCAGGGGTCATTTTCGACAGCAAAACGTTGTGGAATAAACACATTTAGTACGCTGTAACAAAAGCCACGCGAGCTTTAATGGTGTGCAGAAGAGTGGCCGACAAATCGTGGGAATGAAGCCCCTACATCCTTCGACGGATGTACACAATGATTGTCAGGCCAATAGTTACATATGGAGCAGTGGCATGGTCTAAGCGGGCTGTCCTCAACACGTAAGGGCGTCGCTTTCCAGGCTCCAGCGACTGGCGTGCACCTGTATAACAGGATCCTGGATCTGTCGCCACTACACATAGTCATAGAACAAACCGCCAAGAAAGCCCTCCTCAATTTCATGAGGGAGGGCACTGGAAAAGGCAAGGTGGTTTTGAGCAGACTGGGAGAGGAAATCAAAAGCAAGATTCCTATCTTCCAGCTCAATAGAGACTACATGGTTACGCTAAGAACCTCCGAGAAAAAGCTTAGAACCGAACTAGGCAGCAAGGCGACCTGGAACGAGATAATCTTAGATAACACATATCGGCCCCACACCCAAAGGTTCACAGGCTCAAAAACCGACGAAGGTATAGGGGCAGAAATACATGGCTCCTAAGTCAGTATCTCCGCAGTATCCCCTCGGGAACTACCCCAGTACCTTTCAGGCGGAGGTTTTTGCCATCGAAATTTGTGCGAAAGTAATTCTGCAGAGACAACCAAGAAGACAGCACATTGTCATTTACAGCGACAGTCAGGCTGCACTGAAAGCCGTATCGTCGTGGGAAATTAATTCACGGGTCGTATGGGAATGTGTAACGAGACTAAACGCCCCGGGCACGATTCCTGCCGCTACTGCGACAGGGAACAGAAACCCCGCGGCATATCCTCTTAGAATGTGACGCGGTGTCGAGAAAAAGGCAAACACACCTGGGAAAGCTTTGTCTCCCGAGGCAGACAAAGTTGTCGCGTCCGCGCCAGGCACGGCATTCACAGGTCGAGAGTCTATATAACTTGAGATTGACTCCCTGTGAATGTCGTTCACGGCCTGCCTCTATACTGGTGGGTCCAGCGGTGGTTTGATGAACCTCTAAATCACAGCAGTGATGAGCTAAAGTTTGTGACTTTGTTAGAATACGGCTGTTAATCCTAGCATGAAAATTCAACGAATTATTTAATAGTGCTAGTCAAAGAATTATAAATAAATAAGGCTAAGGACAAAGATAAGTTTTGTAGAATTAAAACTACAAAATGTGTATACTTCCTTATCCAGCTTTTTATAAAGCAACAGCAAAAGTCTGCTAATTTATCCGGTTCCTTTTAATAGGTGCAGCAGGGCTAGAGAAAATAATCAAATTGCCGAAAGTAACTTCGAAAGCATTTATATATATTTCCAGAAATCAACAAGCGAATATGGGTCAAATAGCTATAGTTCTCATCTAAAGAAAATATGAAATTTTAAGACATCCTAGACACTGGACTGTATGGGCGAATAAAGGCTGGTTTTCATTATCTCATATTTTGACAATAAAATTTGTCGACATATTTTGACACAACTTTCTTTCTTTTGTCTCTACCTTTATCGATGATGTTATGG